ATGTTTAGAGGCACCTGGATGGCTTAGTCGGCAGAGCATGCAACTCTTGATCTTGAGGTCCTGAGTTCAAGCCCTTCCTTGGGCCTAAAGCTTACATAAAAAATAAAACAAACAAAAAAAAAGGTAGTTACGTTTAAATATCACTGACATTGGCATTTTTAACAGGATGTATACCTGTACTTTCATTGACTTTATTTACATGCAGGTACTTACATTTTGAAAAACCTTTCCACCTTTTATGGCCCACTTAATTTTGTCACTAGGTAAAAAGATGCTGTATTTCAGAACAAAAAGTCTGCTTCTAGCACAAATGGAAGAGACTGATAGAAATAATTGTTACCAAATGCTGACAGATACATCCCAATTGAAAATAATTGTTTCTAGTCCCTCCACACAACTTTTCAATTCATGTGAATTTTTTTAGAAGGTCTGAGATATCTTTAATAAAATTAAACATCAATTTTTACCACTAAAAATTAAAGCACTTTAATCCAAAAATGGAATGTAACGGAATGAAATAATACAGGTTTGTATCTTTTTCACTTACATCTTAGAATTTGAAATCTTGAAGAATATAAAAAAACAATCCAGCCATGAACAAATGTAGAAACCTAAAGGCAGACAAACATAACACTGGCACTCCGTTTAACAGAACAATTTCAATTTTATGAAAGACTTGACTAGAGAAGTAACACTTTTTAGAAAAGACTCATTCAGGGGTGCTTGGTGGCTCAGTCGTTAAGCATCTGCCTTCAGCTCAGGTCATGATCCCAGGGTCCTGGGATCGAGCCCCACATCGGGCTCCCTGCTCAGCGGGAAGCCTGCTTCTCCCTCTCCCACTCCCCCTGCTTGTGTTCCCTCTCTCACTGTGTCTCTCTCTGTCAAATAAATAAATAAAATCTTTAAAAAAAAAGAAAAAAGAAGGCTCATTAATATATGATCCTGAACTGAACAGCAGCTAATACATACCAAAAAACTCCTATAAAAGGTAAATTAGTATGAATGCAATTATTATAACAGACACTACTGATAACCAAAAGGGATACAAAGAAAAAATTAACTGATTTTAATACACAAATCAGTCAAATGAAAAACACAGAATTTATTCCCAGGTAATGTGAATAACAGACTAATCTCAAATCTAATTTCAATGCCAACAGTTGGCCCCTAGATAATTTCTGGATTTACTAAGTATTTACATAAGTACCAGCAAATTACTAAAATAAATTATACTCTTTATGTTTAGATAAGAGCATCTAGTCTTGGGGTGCCTGGGTGGCTCAGTTGATTAACTGTCAGACTCTTGATCTCAGACTCAGGTCTTGATCTCAGTGTCGTTAGTTCAAGCCCCATGTTGGGCTCAGTGTGGAGCCCACTTTCAAATTAATTAATTAATTAAAATTTAAAAAGAGCACCTAGTCTTTCTGGTGTTCTGTAAGTAATCCGCTTCTTTTTTATTAACAGAATGGCATCATTACATGGGTCCAAATATGTATGTGCCTTGATATACAGAAAGCCTGTTTAATATGAACACACATTCAATTAATTACCATATCCATAGTTCTTCCCAAATCTGTATTATAGAAAACGCAATTAATTATTTTCTATTCAGTTCACTCATATTTTTGGTCCTGTACACTGTTATATTTCTTTAAAACCTCTCATAGTTTAAATATGTTTGAGAAACTGTCCTTTAGTTCGGAAGGAAGTTTAGTTACTGTCAAGATAATCTTAGACTATTAAACCCAGTTGATTCTCAGAAATTCTTCCATTTATAAAACATGAGAATTATAACCAAATTAACAAATCAGATATCAGAATGCCAAAAGTTAAGTCATTAAAAGGGAATCCAGAGAAAGAGTCAGTTGTGAAAGAACAGGAAGTGATGTACACTGCCATTTTGTAGATGAACTATTTAGAAACATAAGTACCATACTAAACTGGAATCAACCAAACCCAGACTTAACAGCTCTCAGTATTCTGACAGTGACATCGAGGTCAGCTGAAATAACCCTCAGGCAGTTTTTCCCTAATAATGAATTTATCTAATTGATAAAGAACATACTTTTACCACTCTTAGAATTCCTACAAGCTATGGAAAAGAGGGTTTCTTTTTAGTTGTCCTTAAGAGTATCTCTTAGTTGTAGCATGCATTTTGGAAATTGAGCAAGTAGTTTACTTATATTCTGTGTACATCCTTAAGTTTTGTAGCCTTTATTGACAAACCTTCTCTGCCTGCACCTTTCCAAAACAAAAACAGTCACTCTTTGCTGAGCAGTATGCTTGGGTTTACACATACTAGTATAAATGAATTATCAACAACAAACCATAACATACAGAATTAGACTTTATGGCAGAATTTCCCATGTAAGGGAAAACTCTACATACTACAACATGCAGCTTTGTGCCATGAAATAAAGATTCAAATGAGAAGTGCTGTTTAAGTCAAAATGAATTCAGTTAAAAATAAAAAGGGAATAAAGAAAGCAAGAAGAATTCTACTTTCTGAGGAAAAATAAACTGATTTAACATATCATTAATGAAATATCAAATCATGAAATGAGAGGACAGAAATGAAATTAGTGCCTAACACTACTTATACTAACATCTTTAAAGCCCTGTCTTAAAACAGGTTTCAAAATGCAACAAACACACCAAAAAAACCTCTGATGAACAACATTAAATATACATGGCATTCGGAAGTATTTTAAAATAAGTCACCCACTAAGCAAAGCTTAAACACCAAATACAACTTGTTAGTAAAACATCTAAACAACCCATAGCTGTACATATTGTAGTCTTCGTTGCTTTGTAAAAAAAAAAAAAATTAATCTTAGATCATTTATATATGAAACATTTGGAAATCACTTCATCAGTAAATCTAAATACTTAAAGAAAAAAGTATGAACAGACTTCATGACTATTTGATCACAAAAAGCACTTGGCAACACACTTCCAGAATGTTAAAATTTTTAATTTTTATTTATTTCTACTCTACTAAGGACAAAACCAACAAGTGCTACTGTAAAGCAGATAATTTGTTTTAAACAAATCTGACATGAAGCAAAAGAAGTGGAAAAGTGATTTATTGACTACATAACACAGATCCTATCACAGCATAATTAGGCAAATTAGTGTCTGTTTTCTCATTTCCTTCAGAAAAAAAGCATTTCTACAGAAAGGTTTGTAACCTAATCATTTTCAGAAAATCCAATTCCAATGTTATACAAAATAGTATGAACCCTAAAAATTCACAGCTCGAGGAGAATGTCCATAAGATGGCCTGCCTGTATGCATTAATCTTTAATAATTCTTCAAGAACTACTAAAATCACAGAAAGGAAAAGGAGAGGGACATGAAAGAGTACAAATTTATTTTATTTGAATCCTAGTGAAAACCCAACATGCTCACAAAAAAAAATGTCAATCTAGTGTGTAAAGAGAGCGAGAGAGACATCAAAACTGTTCAAACATGGCAGGGTCCCTCTCGAGAGGCCATATCTCCCAACAATAACAACAGGAACAGATATACTTCCCAGGGACAGATCTCAGGGGAAGAATATTAAACCAGTACTGTTATCGATTTAAAACCAAAGGGAAAAGGGTAACCTTTCCAAGGGAAGCGCCATTACTTCCCTCTCCAGCTCCCCCTCCCTTTCAGTGTATACACGGGCCTATGTATGAAGAAACTGCCTTGGACTTCTGCAGCATTGCAGTAGACTAAAGGATGGGGAAGGGGGAAGGGTAGGGGGAGAGAAACGCTTCCATCACCCATGTAGGAGTATAGATTTCCTGAGCAGGGGTGGAAGCCACCCAGCAGGCTACCCTTCCCAAGAATACAGACACTACAAAGGAGGAGAGGGAGGAGCAGAGGGATCAGAAGGGAAAGGGACCTCGCGCCTTTAAATCGGGGTGCACATCAACCCAGTCTCCCCAAGAGAGCCACACCTTCCTCGAGACATCCCCTTCCACCACCCCTTCCGGTGACCCTCAGGAAAGAGGGATGTAATTGCTCTTGCCCCTCAAAACGGGAGGGCGCCTAGCTCACCAGCTTCTTCACCCCACCCACTGAAATCACAGACCCTCCTTGTCTCCCTCCCTACCCCACCCCCACCTCCCTTCTCGGAGAGACCAGAGTGGGCCGAATTTCCCCGCCCCCTCTATGTCTCCCTTTCCCAAAGCAGAGGTGCCCTTACCCTTTCGCCGACAGGTCTGGGGCAGAGTAGGCAGGCGCAGCCCCCTGCAGCGCTCGGGTAGCCGCTACGCTGGAGGGCGAAGAGTGAGGAGGAGGGGGCCTGGCGACCGACTGCCGCCCCCCCCCCCCCCCCGGAGCCCCAGCAAGCCGCCCAGCCCAAGCTCTGCGACAAGGGGCGGGGGGGGAGGGGGCGAGGGGACGACCGGGGTCGAGGAGGCGCCCTCAGAGCTTGGGCTCAGCTAAGATGGCGCGGGGAAGTGCTGGGAGCCGCCGCCGCCGCCGCCGCCTCGGGGGAACCGGCCCGGGCCTCGGCCGCCTTCCGTCCTCACACAGCCGAGGCCCTCTCGTCCCCCGCCACGGCCCCTCAGCGGGCGGGCCCACGCACAGCCCTCCGCCACCACCACCACCCCTGGGAAGGGGGCGCTCACAAAGGGAAGAGAGGCCGCGGGCCGGCCGGCCGGCGGCGGGGCGGGGTCCCCAGGGGCCGGGAGGCCTCAGAGGTTCGCGGGTGCCTCGCGCTCTCGGCCCGCGAAGGGCGCAGGCAAGCGGGACCCCTCCTCTCTCCTCAGACAGGCGGCGGCACCGACTCACTATCTTTGCCACCCTCCCTCTCTCTCTCTCTCTCCGAGCCCTGAAGCCACAGAGCCCGGCCGCTGCCCAGGTTTCCCCCCCCTTCCCCGACACCACTCCCCTCCTCCCGACAGTCATCCCAGTCTCCGATCTCGCGAGATTTTCCGCCTGACAGGCCCGACCCTGCGCGAGACACGACTGCGAACGCGTGCGCGCCCTCACGGGAGCGCGCGAGTGCTTGCACTAACTGGGCGGAGTCTCCCGGGTACCCCGAGTCCCAGCCTCGGTCCAGCCTCGTCGCACGCAGCTGGCGGATCTCTTCTGCCACGCGGGCATCAGGTGCATTCATTTCACCCTGAAATCTGAGAAAGAAGAGTTTATCAGCTCTCCTCCTCTGTTCTCACTTCCAAAATATGCGCCCCCCAAAACCCTGCGAATGAGAAGCTTGCCCTGGCATGTAGGATATCCAGTTCTTACACACCTTGGTTCAACTACTCCGTGGAATTCAGAGGTAATCTGGTCAGTGTAATCAGTATGTAGTTGAATTTTTGAGATTCTAAAAGCTTATAAGAACTTCTGGAATGGTAATAAGAGTTGAGAATACAGATTAAACCACCCTGTATGTTGGTAATGGTAGGAAAGAGACAAATTCTTGTGAAGTTTTGGTGTATGTCTTTAGTAGATTGAGTGACGATAAGTTTTGGAGACAGGAGCAGCGAACAAACTGAAGAGTCCTACGCGTCCTAACGCAGGAAAGAGAGCTTCTAATTTTTTTGTGTGGTGAAAACGTTTTTTTAGAGGAAAACTCCTTCAGTGGACTATAAAGAGCAATTTTATTCAGGAACCAAAAAGTATGCCTCAAGTGCAGTCATAAAAAAATCTTGATTCTTCAACTGGTTAAGCAGTGAGATAAATAGATCTGTTGTGTGAGACTTATGAGTAAGAGTGTACCCCGGAACAACTGGAAGTTACAGTAAACTAGGAAAGTAAACGCTATGATCAGAAAAACAAGGGCGCCTGGGTGGCTCAGTTGGTTAAGCGACTGCCTTCGGCTCAGGTGGTGATCCTGGAGTCCCGGGATCGAGTTCCACATCGGGCTCCCTGCTCGGCGGGTGTCTGCTTCTCCCTCTGACCCTCTTCCCTCTCATGCTCTCTGTCTCTTGTTCTCTCTCTCAAATAAGTAAATAAAATCTTTAAAAAAAAAAACCAAGATATCCTCTTCGGTGGGTTATACATATAATTTGTTCTAAATATGCTTTTTCGTAGTAAGGGGGTTTGCTCTGTCAGTCAGTCCTCTTTTCACCTATATTGTCAACTACTCTCAAGTGGCAACTTAACCTCAGCATTAAAACATGCCCTAGTTTCTTTGGAGGGAAAAGAAGGATTACAATCTTCATCTCTCCTCCCCTTCAAAGCCAAGCTTCTGGGAAAAGTTGTCTGTCTTCCCACCTCCACTGAAACTGATCTTATTACAAAAGTCAAGAGTGACCTCCTACTTGCTGTGTCTAGTAGAGTCATTTTATTTTATTTTTTTAAGATTTTATTTATTTATTTGACAGAGAAAGAGAGCAACAGAGGGAGAGGGAGAAGCAGAGTCCCCGCTGAACAGGGAGCCCCATGTGGGACTTGATCCCGGGGCCCCGGAACCATGACCCGAGCCGAAGGCAGATGCTTAACCGACTGAGCCACCCAGGCACCCTAGAGGAGTCATTTTAATGCTTCTTGACATCTGCAATATTAGACATAGTTGATACTCCTTCCATCTTGAAAGTGTGTTCCTCCTTGGCTTTTCAACACCACTCAAAACCAGTTTTCCTTCTACCTTCTTGTCCTTGGAGCCTCTCTTCCTCCATCTACCGCTCAAATGATGCCCTTCCAATCCTGATCCCTTCTTCTGAAAGTTACAGCAAGAATGTTCTCTTCTAGTTATTTCATACATTTAGGAATGGAAAGAGATTCAGGCTTTCCTATAATATTTATTCTTAATTTTCTATGGAAAATTTCAAACATACACAAAAGGAATGGGATATAATAATAAACCCTCATGTGGGGGTGCCTGGGTAGCTCAGTCGGTTGAGCGTCTGCCTTCGGCTCGGGTCATGATCCCGGGGTCCTGGGATCGAGCCCCGCATCGGGCTCCCTGCTCGGCCAGGAGCCTGCTTCTCCCTCTCCCTCTGCCCCTATTCCCCCCACTTGTGATCGCTCTCTCTCTCTGTGTCAAATAAACCCCCCTGTGTCCATCACCTAGCTTCAACTATTATCAGCCATTTTTATCATTCTTGTTTCACCTATTCTCTCACAGCCTTTTCCACCCAATGTAATCCCCCTCCAACCAATGTATTTTTTTTAAGATTTATTTGTGAAAGAGAGGGAGGAAAAAAGAGAGAGTGAGTGGGGGGAGAGGCGGGGCTAAAGGGAGAGAATCTGGAGCAGACGCCTCCCTGAGTGTGGAGCTCTGTGCGGCACTCAATCCCATGACCCTGAGATCATGACCCCAGCCAAAATCAAGAGTCACGGGCTTAGCCGACTGAGCCACCTAGATGCCGCCCCCCCAAGTGTATTTTTAAGTAAATCTCTAGTAAACCATCATAACATTTTACCTGAAAATACTTCAATATGTGTCTTTGAGAAATGCTTTGGTTGAAACATAACCACAATATCATTATCACACCTTTACAATAATTTCTTATTATTTAATACCCAATCCATGTTCAGTTTTTCCCAGTTTCCAAAATGTCATTTTACAGTCCATTTGTCTGAACCAGGACCTGAAGTTCTACACTTTGCCTTTGATTAATAGATATGTCTCTCTTTTTAAAAAAAAAAAAAAAAGATTTTATTCATTCGAGAGACAGAGAGCATGAGCAGGGGAGAGAGGCAGAGGGAGAAGCAGACTCCTGATGAGCTGGGAGCCCGATGTGGGGCTCGATCCCAGGACCCTGGGATCACGACCTGAACGGAAGGCAGACACTTAACCATCTGAGCCATCCAGGCACCCCTAGATATGTCTCTTATATTGCTTTTCATGTATAACAGTTCCCCCTCCCTTTTTTCTTCCTTTTTTTTTTTTTTAAGATTTTATTTATTCATTTGAGAGAGAGAGAGTGGGAGGGAGAGGGAGAGAGAATCTGAAGCGGACTCCACACTGAGCACAGAGCCTGACGTGGGGCTGGATCCACGACCCTGAGATCGCCACCTGAGCCAAAACCAAGAGTCCGACGCTCAACTGACTGAGCCACCCAGGAGCCCCTCTTTCCTTTTTGTAAGCAGTTTATTTGTCTAAGAAATCAGATTATAGATCCTGTAGAATTTTCCACATTCTGGACTTGCCAGTTGCATCCTCACAATGTCATTTCACATTTGCTTCATTGCCCATATTTCTAAACTGGTAGTTAAATCTAAAGGTTTGCTCTTGTATAGGTAGTGTTTCTTTTTATAATATTTTGTGTCTGCTACTACCTCATTCTCCCTCTTAACACCACCTGTACCATAAATTGTAGCTCCACCCCCTCTCTGATTCCCCAGCACATAGCATATCTTAAGAGACCCTGCCTGTCTTTTTAAAAAATTATTATTCCAGATATCTACCTATGATCTGGTACTAAGAGGCCTCCCTCCTCAAATTCTTCAAATTTCACACACACAACACACCCATACATACATACACGTGGGCTTATCCTGTCAAATTTGTTCAACAGTCAAGTATCATTGGTTGATACTGCAAAAGATACGTTATTTAATTTCAAAAATTGAATCCAAACAAGAAAATTACACTCATTCATGGTAGGAAAATAACTTAATACTTAGAACAATTGCAGATTTTGCACCTTCTGTGATTTAACTCCTGAACATTTCTCAAATTCATCCCTTTCTTCATCCCTTTCTTCATCCCCACTGCCTCTGCTATGGTGGTTCATACTGTTTCTAACCTGGGGTACTGTAATTGCCTTCCAACTACTCTCCTCACCCCCTGGGGTGCCCCATTCTCTATACTTTGGTGAATGGTTTTAATCTTCCTAAAATGCAATTTCTAAAAGATGAGTGTGTCATTTCTCTGCTTAAAACTCTTCTATGGCAAAAAAAAAAAAGAAACAAAAAAACTCTTCCATGGCTCCCAAAACCGTCCAAGTAAAATCCAGACAAAACCCTTGCATACCTCTCTAACTTTATTTAGGATGTTCCCACCATCCTGAACTATTATTCACTCTTCTGCTAACTGCTCATATGCTGTCTTCAAGATGCGGCACCGCACTCCTCTGCCTGAAAGACCTCCTCTAGTTGGCTAATATCCTTCAAGATTTAGCTCACATGTCACCTCCGTGAAAAGCTTTCTCATATCTCAATTAGGTATTCCTTGAGCCTACAAATTGGGGTCAGAAAGCTGTGCGAGGGACACCTGGCTGGCTCAGTTGGTAGAGCATGCCACTCTTGGTCTTGGGGTCCTCAGTTCAAGCCCCATGTTGGGTATAGAGATTGCTTGAAATAAAAATTTTTTAAAAAAAGAAAGTAAGCTAGCTGTGGGGTGAAGAATGGGTACCAACCATGTTTTGACCTCGATAAAAAAGTTACCTAAACAGTGACAAAACCAAGAATAAGCTTTTTCCGTACACTGACATATTTAATCGTCACAACAAACTTGTGCAGTAGGTTCTGTTATAATTACTTCCAATTTATAGGTAAGGAAACTAGGGTTCAGAGAGTTATGTCACTTGCCCAAGATCACACAACTAATAAGTTGTGAGCTAGAATTTGAACCCAGTTGTGAATGAATCTAAACCACATTCTCCTTCCACCATATTCCACTCCTGGCACCACCAATCGAGGACAGCTTGATGCCATGCACATATTTTTTGTGTGTAAGAGATGCCTGACCATGTGTAATGTCAGTATATTTGTGTCATGCATGGATCTATGGGTGAAAAGGCAGCTTGTCAATGTGCAGGTGGGTGCACTGACTGATCTGGTATCTGTCCGATTAAACGATCCTTTCAGTGTTGTTACTCAGTAAAAGACCAAGTTGTCTTCAACTCAATTTAACAAATACTTATTGAGTTCCTGCTGTATGTTAGGCTTAAGTAAAATACAGAAAGGGCAAATGGAACTAATGTTTATAGAGTTACTCTGTGCTGAGAACTGTATGAAGCAAGTTCTTTACATTCATTATCCCCTTAATCTTTCCAACAACCCTGAAAAAAGGATGATGATGATGATGATGACTCCCAACAGAGAGGAAGAAAGTACAAAAAAATCAAGTACCTTTGTGCAGCTCAGCATGGAGAGCTAAAATTACAGTACAGGTTCAATATGAATTTTAAGCTGCTTTTTTTTTTCACTGCTTATTGGTTCCCTTTCTCAAATCCCTCCCCATACTAGGAACTCAAAATCCTGTTAGAGGGGTGCCTCGGTGGCTCAGTCGGTTAAGCGTCCGACTCTTGATTTCGGCTCGGTCATGGTCTCAGGGTCCTGAGATCAAGCCCAAGTCAGGCTCTGCACTGGGCGTGGAGCCTGCTT